TGTACAGCAATTTTGGGAGTATAGCCATCTTCACAATGTTGGTTCTTCCTATCAAGGAGCAGGGAATATCTTTCCATTTTCTGAAATCCTCTATGATTTTTCTTTTCAGAGTACTGCAATTTTCCTTGAAAAGATCTTTGCCTTCTTTAGTTAGTTGAATTTCAGGGTATTTCATTTTCCATGGTGTTATTGTAAAAGTTATTGTTTTTCTAATTTCCCTCTCAGTGTGTTTGTTATCTGTGTAGAGGAATGCTACTGACTTTGGGCTCTGGGTTTGGTTTCTTCTTTCTTTTCTAGTTATTGGAGGTGCAGCAATAGGGTTTTTATTTGTTTCCATTCTGTTTTCCTAATGTGTGAGTTCCCAGCTATGAATTTCCCTCTGAGAACTGCTTTCCTCTCATCCCATAAATTCCGATATGTTGTGTTTGAATTTTCATTGAATTGTAGATATTTTTGAATTTCTTGTTTAATTTCATTTGTGACCCATTGGTTGCTCAGTAGGGTGTTATTTAATTTCCATGTAATCATGGCGATTTTCTGTTTTCTTGTCTCATTTATTTCCAGTTTAATTGCACTGTGGTCAGATAATATGCATGGGATAATTTCTGTTTTCTTTCTTTCTTTCTTTTTCTTTTTTTCTTTTTTCTTTTGGCAGCCTGAAGATGCCTTGAGGGCATTTCTGGTTTGATGTGAGTATCTGGGTTCGAACCGCAGCATCTTGAGCATGAGTGCTTTGTTTAAGCAGGCACTTAAACAACTGAGCTAATGGGCAGGCCCCCAATTTCTGTCTTCTTGCATATACTTAACCATGACCTATGGGCCAGTATGTGGTCTTTTAGAAAATGACCCATGTGCAGCTGAAAAAAATGTGTATTCAACTGTCATTGGGTAGAATACTCTATATATGTCCACTAAGTCTATTTGTTCCAAACTCTGGTTCAGTTCTGCTACTTTACTAATTTTTTGTCTGCTTGAGCTATCTTTTTGTGATAAGGGGGTGTTAAGGTCTCTTGTTAAGATTGTGGTATTGGTTATTAGATTTTTCATGTCCATTATGATTTGTCTTATACAGTTTGGTGCTCCCATGTTTGGTGCGTATACAGTTATGAATGTTACCTCTTCCTCTTGAATTTTCCCCTTAACCAGTATGTAGTGGCCTTCTTTATTTCATTTTGTCATTCTTGGTTTGAAGTTGAGACCATCTGATAATAAGATTTTTTTTATATATATATGGTGTTCATATAATTACATATATCATGGAAAATATTAATGTACCTTTACACAAATTTTCATATGCAATACAATATCCACAAGTTAAAAGCAGATTATAAAAAGAAATCTCACACAAAATGCAGCCAAATGATAAGCGTTCATATAAAATGCT